TTCATATGCAGTCAATTCTGAGAACTTGTTTGATACTGTATGGGGTTTGTTCCTATGTTTATTTCTTTTTAATAGCTTGATACTGGGAAATGCATTCATTTTAACAATTTGTTTACCAATAATACAGGATATGGATTATATACTTAGTATTTCTAGATTCTTCAGAGCATTAGAAAGAATTAAGAATAGTACCTTTGCTAAGGGTAGTGCCCCTTGAGCATTTTGGCAGTGATCCCCATGGAGTAACAGAATATTTTAGTAACAACTAATAAACTGTACTTGGTTAGATGGTAGTCATCGCAGGCAGGTAGTTTTAGACACATACTTAGCATCACCTCCATTTAACCTACTCGGGTTGTCCTCATTAGGGCTTTTCACTTAGAACAGCATTACAGCAATCATATACTGTATTTTTAGCATCTTACATAAACTTCCCCACAAATGCCCAAGTTATGTAACCAGCCCCCCCACGGGCTTTCCTCCAGCCTCTCACGGATTTACAGCAGGGGGAGGAGGTATGCGGGGTGGGGGATCCCTGTCCCGTGACTGCAATGTTCACATCCGAGAAACTGATTCCTCTCCTCTGGCCGGGGCTGGGTGCCCACCAACAGTGTGCCTCCCTCTCCCCTCCTCTATTCTCAGCCTGCACCTTCTGCTGTTACCGTTCATCAGGTGTCACCTCTGAGCCTGGGAGACTCTGCCTTCTCTCATGGTTTCCAACAAACCCCTAGGGCTCAGCTCCAGAGGCAGAAGGTACCTGAGAGACAGTTCGAGTTCCCTCATTTTACAGACAGCAAATGAGGTTCCGGGAGACTAGAGGACTTCCTCCCAGGTATAGAGGCGTAACTACAGTCAACACCAGGTCCCTGGATTCCCTCTTCAGTAGGACTTCTAGGAAGCCCACAGCTTCTCAGATTTCAGTGTCCTCATATACATAAAATGAGAGGTGTGAGAGAGGGGGTCTCAAAAATCCCTTCCATCTGTGCTTTCTGTATAGATATGTTCTGGGCCAGGTACTGATGATATTCAACTTTAGAGTTTACTCTTTTCAGTGCATTGGCTAGAAGTTACCAACTGACATGAGTCAGGAAGACGACATAATTTTGCTTGGCACTTTAAAGTGTAAATTCAGCCTTTTCTCTTTTTTAATGGTAAGAATGTGAAGAAACAAATGGTAAATTCACCCACGGCAAAAGAGAAAAAAAAAGGAGGTTCATATACACATCTTCAGCTGACTCGTGTACAAGAAAAGCACTATGTTACATTATTCTTAACTAGTTTATCTATATCAGGAAAAGTCTCTTTCTGGTGTGGCAGGGGGAGGGCAGAGCTACGCAGGGAATGAGGGTGATAAGCATTTTCCAAATTAGGAAACAGATTTGCTTTTCTTCTTACTCTCTTACATAACTGATCTATTTTAGAAGACAACACTAAAAACACTGAAATGAAATACAAATCTCATGATTTTACTACTGTGTTAGCAAAGACACAAGCAAGTAATGCTGGGAGGGAAAGAGCACACCCCATCATACTCCTGGGCCTGGGGCTGTTTTACCAGGGTTCCCTCTGCTCCAGTGCAGTCTACTGGATGAGTCAGAGACCGAAGTCCGAATTTTCCATGTCTGATAATTAATGAAGGAAGATACTAATGTTTCTCTCCTCTGCATTTAAAAAGCAGCCACATCAAAGTGCTTAGCCTCTTTCGTGGCACAGAATGTCAGAAAAATGACCTGTTGTACAGCCAGTGATTGTTTGCCCCAGACTTCCTGACTCAGAGGAAAACTGTACAGTACACAGAGGCCACAGAGGTAGTACAGCCTCTTACATAAATAAGTTACATAAATGAGAACCAGTTATGTAAATGTATAAACCAGCAAACATGAATTATAACCATTCACAAATGCCAGGAAGATCACGGCAAGATTCCTCCTACAGTCCCATTTTCTTCCTCTCACATTATCATAATTGTACCATTTTATTTCACACCAGAATCAAATGTGGTTATTTGTCACATTTATGAGGGAAAGAAACTCTAAAGGACAAATGATAATTCACATTATTTTTCTGAACCATACACTTTACTTTTTGGGGGGTAGGGGGGATTTCATAATAAAACCTGACTTGAACCATACTTGGTAAGAAATACAAGCATGTTTATCAATTTATTTTAGTTACTGAGTAATCATGAACACATGTATTAAGTATTTACTATTGTACATTTTGCAAGCTGCTGTTAAGGACAGGAATGCATCGCAAAAGTTAATGGCCATGTGCATATGGATATTTGCTTCACCACTTATGGTTTCAAATATGAAATGAGCATGTGGAAATCCAACTAAAGTCATTCTTCTGCTTATTGAAGGTAGTAATTGAGGGAGATAGGATTAGATTCAAGGTTATGGTCATAAATTCACATTAATATTCCTTAATAATCATCTTAAGTGATTAGGAATTTCTTAAGGGTCTCAGCTGCAATTTGCTCCAAGGGCAATGTAAATGATAAATGAACTTATTTGCCTCTGCACCCTGTTGAAACTGGAACTTTGGCTTTTAACTCAGCTTTTTCTGTGTTCCCTTTGTCACAATGAGTATCTACCTCTTCTCTGAATTTGCTCATTGTGTAGTAGAAATATGTGCAACTCAAAGTTGTGAACCTAAATGCCTGTTCTGTATGAAGAGGGATGTTAATTAAACATCAGCCATAGTGGAATGAGAGATGATCTTAAAACCTCTATGAGCTGTGTGATTTGGGGCAAATTACTTCCCCTCTCTGGGTCATTGCTTCTAACCATTTGTAAAAGGACTAAAAGTTCTAAGCTACTTCCAGCATTAACAACCTAGTATCCTATAATCAAATCTATAAATATTTTCAACTGTGAGCTTTAAACTCACTGCCATTGAATTTAAAGAAAGTATAACCCATTATACAGAACCCAAATTTTTTTCTTCGGCAAAACTGCAGACCCTGCTTGGGTTGTGGTGATTTGATGACTACCTTATGAAAAGTATCCGGTGTTTTGTCTTAGACAGTGCCAAATACAGGCCTTAGCCTGCTGTGGGGCTGTGAATGCGATGTGGAGCACACAGCTGACACCTACAGAACTGGGTGGTTTTCTCCCTCGAGGTGGGATGTGAGTTTGAAACTGGCAAGACAGCAGTAACCTGGCATCAGGGGAAATTGTCTTGCCCTCTGGAGGGAGTCGCCTGGGAAACGGGGGTGGGGTAATTTTGTTTCTAAAGTTGACCGACTCTAGACTTGAGTCACAACTCATCAGACTGCGCATTCCTAGGCCCTAGGCCTCTACATATCCATCTGTAACGTGGGCATGAACTAACGAACACGCAGGCGCGCACCTCACCACCCAGGACACTACACAGGGAGGCTCCCCCAGGCCAGGAAGAGGGGGCGGGTCCGGGTCCCCTCAGGAAGGCGGGGACGTCAGGAGAGGGCTGGCGTTTCCGGCAGAAGAGCGCCCACAAACCAGGCATCAGGGAGAGGCCACGGCAAGTGGGGACACCCGGCGGGAACGCGAGAGGGATGCAGGTCTGCGCTCCTTCGGGCTTTGTTCAGTTACGAGGCAGGCCCTTCGTTCTGGAGAAGCCAATTAAATCCCCGCTGGGGGATCATCTGACCTCAAGTCCCCCGCCAGGAGGGGCTTGGGCGACGGTGCTGGCCGGCCCCTCCGGGACCCGCCGCGCGCGGTGCGGGGGAGTCCCGGGCGCTGGCGCGCAGCCGGGACCCGCCCCGCGCCGCCAGGCCCCGCCCCGGGGCTGCCCAGGCGCGCGCCGCCCCGCTGTGTCCGCGCGCCACGCCCCCCAGCTCGCGGGCCGCGTGCGGAGCCGCGCGCCCCGGAGGCTCCGGGACCGTGGCGGCGGGCGGCGGCGGCGGAGCAGCCCTCCGCGGGCCATGTCTTCTCCGGCGGTGGAGAGGGGCGCCCTGGATGGGAGTCGGGAGGCGGCCGCCAGGCCGCGGAGCCGGGGCCGGTTTTGGGAAGTGGGCGGTGGCAGCGGCGGCCGGCTGGAGCGCGCGGCCGCGGAGTCGGAGCGCTGGGAGCTGCTGCTCCGCCGCGGCAAGCTGCTGGCGCTGGGCGGCCACCTGAAGGGAGCGCTGGAGGCGTACGCGGCGGCGCTGCGCCGCGGGGCCCCGGCCAGGCCCGAGTGCCTCGGCACCCTGGTGGACTGCCTGGTGCTCAGCTACCGACTCCGCCACGGGCTGGGCTGGAGCGCGCCCCTGGCCGCCGGCGCGGACGCCGGGGCCGGCGGGCTGCTCAGCTGCCTGGGCTGCCGCGGCTTTCTGAGCGAGCCGGTGACCGTGCCCTGCGGCCACAGCTACTGCCGTCGCTGCCTGCGGAGAGAGCTCCGCGCCCGCTGCCGCCTCTGCCGGGACCGGCTGCCGCCCGCCGCCGCCGCCCAAGCCGAGGGGACCACCCCGCGGCCGCCGCCACTGGCCGCCGCCATCGCCGCCTCGGGCTTCAGGACCAGCGTCGTCCTCAACCACCTGGCCGAGAAGTGGTTCCCGGGCCAGCGGGAGCGAGCCCGGGCTGCCGGCCGGCTCGCGGAGCTGCTGCACCAGGGGCGCTACCGGGAGGCCCTGGCCGCCGCCTGCGAGGCGCTGCGAGCAGGTGACCGCGCGGGGTGCGGCGCGGGCCCGGCCACCCCACCCTCCTCTCCCCGACGGGCCGGCTGCCCAGAGCTCGCCTGCTCCCCGAGGAGGCCGCCCGAACCCGCCGGTCGGGGTCCCCGAGGGGGTGGGAGGGGCCGCGCCGCGGGGTGCTTCGGTCACAATGGGGATCGCCCCGGAGCCGCCTGTGACGCGGCGCGGGGGCGGCGGGCGCGGGGATGCCGCGGCCTTGCGGTCCGGCGCGCGCGTCCCGGGCGGAGCGGGGGCGGGCAAGGACGCCGCCGCGCTTCCTGCTGCACTCTTTCCGGCAACCGGCCGCGCAGGCCGGGCCGGGCCGAGGATCCCCCCCCACTCCCGAGGCTCGGGATGCAGCGTTTACCTTCGTCTCCCACAAAAGTCAGTGGGGCAGTCGGAAGCCGCGGGAGGGCGGAATTGCATAAGCGGGGCGGGGGGGCGGCGGGCGTTGTGTAACGGGTGACGTCCGGTGGGCGTGGCGGGAGCTCCGGGTCCCGCAGCCGAGGCCCCGGGGGCCGCTGTGCGCGCGGGGGAATCGGAGCTGCTCAGGGGTGTGCATGTCGCTCCGGAAAATGCCTGCACAGTTGGCTCCTCTTGCTAGTTCACCTGCCAGTTTCGAATCACACTTATTTCATAAACACATGTGTGCTTGGCTTTCGAGATAAACAAGTAGCCTCCGATCGAGTTCTTCGCCACGCTCATGTTAGTCTTTCCGCTCTTGATCGGGCTGTGGGGAAGCGCCTTGTAGACCGTTTGTTTGTTTCTTCACCTTGGAGAACAGCTTCAGCCTCCAAACCTAGCACTCAGGGTGATTTGGGGCTGTGGAAGGGGACACTGCCAGACATAGGTAAAATGAAGAGTTCTGAGTTCTTTATATCGGTGGTTCTCTAACCCGAGGGACTGCACCCCTCAGGGGAATTTGCGGGCGACGCGGGAGTGCTACTGGGTCATCTAGAGCGTGGAGGCCAGGGACGCTGCTCGGACTCCTACAATGCCCAGGACAGCCTCCCACACAATGGTCAGGCCCCAAATGTCAATAGTGTCACTGTTAAACCTCTGTTGAATAAGCTTGTCTCGAGATTAGTGTCTATTTTAGCATGAAATAACGCTTGGGGAAATAATTATCCTTAAGACCGTAGACATATAAAATGGAAAATGCTAGGTATTTGCTAAGTGTAGAAACGGTGTAACTGAAAGTATCTTGTGGGTCATTTACCCTAAGTGCTTAGTCATTTTGAACCAGTGACAATATATATTGAGGGTTTTTTTTTAATACCTTTAGAGTTCAGAGCACAAACCTGGCATATTTTCATATTCTTTCACTCTCTTGGTGGGTCGTAGGCAGTTATAAAACAGAATAGAATGAGAATAGACCCAGAATAAAAGAGAACTATTTGGAAAATTCTGATGCAGATAGATCTGCCTCTCTGGGTAAGTAGAGCGCATTGAGTGGGGAAGTACAAACCATCTAGGTCACAGTCCTCATTTTAAAAGTGAGGCCCCAGAAGCTAGGGTAGTGAAATGACTTGTCCACAACCACAGGGCTAGCTGGTTGCCAATACGGTTCTCCTGAATATTGGACCAGGGTTCATCCTGCCTATGTAGCTCTTCCAATGAAAATGTTTAACATAAATTTTCAAGGAAGTTTTTGTTGCTAGTATAAAATAAAGAATGAAAGTTATCAACCGTACTATTCATTATTAACTACTACTGAGTTAATGATTTGACCTCTGAAGTCAGCTGCTGCATAAGAATTCAGGTCTTAATTCCATCGGAAAACAGTGAGTCCATTTACTAAGACCTAGCTTATTGCTCAATGACCAATAATGTTTTTATTAAGGAAGATTCTGGCCTTGAATTGAGGATGTTATTTGTAACAGAAAAAGATGGTAAAATCTACTGTTTTCTCCTTTTTTCAATTTGGATACTCTGTCCATGGAATTTTGCCCACTCAGCTACTTAATTCTACTACTGCAGGACTAGAACCCAGGTCTCCTGACTTACACCTCGTTAGCCTGTTTTCCCCTCATTTTTAGGTCTTTGGAAAACTGTTAGTACCATACTCAAAAAATATCTGAATAGTACTAACAAGGGTAGCTTTTTTCATCCTTTGGATTTTTAGTGCAAAGTAGGAGGAAAAAAGTATTAGAGCTAACAAATTATAGTTGGTACAATACAGATAGTATGTGTGTAGCAGTTTATGGGCAAAGGTAAAAATGTTTAGTAGAGTTATAAATCTTTTTATACAGTTGGGCTTAATTTTTTGGAGTCAGGCGATTGAAACATACTTAGATAACTATAAAATGGTTATTAATAATTCTTGTTATTGTTACAGTGAAAAAAGGCCTTCCCTATAATTTTTCCCTGGAATTATTATGAGAGAAGTAAATACTATTAACTAGAAAAAAATGAACTAGTCTACAGTTAGCTCACACACATCCAGCTTTACCCATCAGCAAGAGAGGAAAGCTTGAAAACCTTTGCCAAAATCAGAGAAGTTTCCCGTTGAGATTACATAAGTTTCTGTTGAACTGAAATATATTTAGATAACATTTAATCCATTGATCTTTTGGTATTAACACTCCGATGTTTCATAACTTTTTTTTTAGTATTCAGGGATATTATGTAGACATCTTTTCTGCATTGAATCTTTTTATACTTTAGTCCTTTGAAATGATCCCACTTGGCTATGCTGGATTCCTTTTATTTTTTATGAATTTTTACATTGACTTGTCACCTCCCTGTGTACAGCTGTGTCTGGAAAGCCTGTCTGGGGAGACCTCTACCAACGACAGGGTACTTGACTGTGATTGAGAAAGAATTCACGGGCAGGTCCAGCAGTGTAGTTTAGTAAAGCAGAAGTACGAACTCAAGGAGGGAGAGCTGAGCAGCATGGTGGACCTCAGGTTGGGTGGTCTTACAGAGTTGAAGCAGGGGGTGGAATATTCATCGGGGTAGGTGGGGTTTTCTGGAGTAGGGAAGGGGTTTCCCGGATTATAACGCGCTCTTTATCCTTCGATGGTTTGTCTCGGAACTGTCATGGCGCCAAGGGGCTCAAAATTAAGTACGCTTAGGAACGTTAAATGAATATGGAGGTGAAGTCAGGGTCAACTCCTCCTCCATGTTGGAACCAGCCAGTTTTGTCAGGTCTGTTATCTATAGTCTCACTCCCCACATCCCGCCAGAACAGTTTACACGGAATGTTCCGAATGTAAACAAGCATCTAACTGAATGTAAACACCGGCCAAAGTCCCCAACTCCTTCCCTGCTCCTGTTTGGCTACCTACCTGCTGTAACACAGCCCTCTCCCACAGAAGACAGCAGAGTTAAGTGTAACTTACAGTTTGATCTGGTTTTAAAAAGATAAAGGCCATGAGAGGGAGATTTTATTTGAAATACTTGGAGAAGGAAGTTTTTGTCTTTAATATTATATTGCCTTTGAATTATACCAGTTATTTTTGAATTCTTTATGTCATTTGACCTTCACTAAGAATTCTGCTGAGTACTCTTTTCCTCACAAGGAAATACAGGCTGGCTAGTGGTTAAAGCTGTGCACTCCGGAGCTGAGTACCTGGGCTGAATCCCACTGCAATTCTCCACTTACTCTCTGACCTTCGCCCTGTTGTCTAACCTGTCTGGTTTTGGCTTTCCTTCTCTGAAAAGTGAGAATGTATCTATCTCATGGGTACCAATAATAACAACCACCTAGGGCTTGTTGGGAGAATAAAGTCAAAATGTAAAGGACTGTGATTGGTGCCTGACAGAGTAAATGCCCAGTAAATATTAATTAAATATCTAAAGAAGGCAAAAGTTGTGCTGCCACTAGACAGTGATGTAGCTAAAATTGAAATCTAAATCTTGTGATGCTAAGTCCTGTCCTTTTTCCCCCACCACATTCATAATACTGCCACAGGCTAAGTGCTGATTCTAGACTACATAGGTTAAATTAGTAGGAACACATCTTTGCGTAATTAGTAATACATAGATAGATACTGCAAGGCTTTAGCTGTAAAAAAAATTAGTCAGATTATATATAGGTGATGGCTGAATACATTTAAAGAAAATGTAAATGGTTTTTTATACCTTAACTAGATTAGGGTAAAGAGATTTGAATTTAATCAGTAAACTTTATGTATGACCTAACATACTCTGTAAAAGATTTGTAATAGCAAACACTGGCATTTATATGATGTTTTATTATAGCTCCCCCAAAAATTTCACTTCTGTTATCTTAACTGATCCTGACAAAAGAGTATGTGACCTAGAAGGGCATGCGTTAGTAACTGTAGTTCACAGACTGAAAAAAGAGCTCCAGGAGTTTTAAGTGACGTTTTTAAGGGAAGTAAGTAACCAAGTTTGAACTGAAAGCAGAAATCAGGTATGTGGGTATTGCTTCTAAGACTAAAGCTGATTTTTAAAAATAGCATATAAATCATAAATCTTAAGTATTCTTAAATATTTACTTAATAAGATTTATTGAGTACTTACTACATACCACTAGGCATTGTTTCAGGTGCTGGAAATACAGAAGTGAACAAAATAAAGCCCCTGTCCTAATAGAGTTTATATTTTCTCTTTTAAAATTGTAGCAAATTGGTATTTATTGGAAGATGAGCTAATTGCTTAGTTGACTTGTAACAAACTGAGCCTGTATATCTGATTCATTCTTTAATTCAGAAGTAACTTTAAGGATTTTTGCAAAGCCTAAGGGTCACTATAAAGATCAGTTTTAATGGCATATTCTTATTGATATAGAAAATGGAAAAAGGGGTTATATAAGTCAGTATTAAGTGCTCTGTTTTAAGTAAATAATTTCAGTGTTTTTCCCTGTTTTTAATTCGTCAATGCAAAATTTACCAAAATTTGGTTGTCTTATATTTCTAGTTATTTGTATATTAACCTTCAGTTTATTCAGAATTGTTGTTCTATTCGGTGAAATATTTCTAAAAGGCTTAAATATATTCAAGTGAAATTATAAATGATTTTGTGTAATATTCTGCCTCTTGGATTGTAAAGATTTTTTCAAAAATGTTATATTTTACTATAGAAGATGAATGACTTAAAACTCTAAAATGCAAGATAGAAGCTTTTGTTCAAATTTTTTATTTTTCTTTGATAGAATAGGATCAGTCTTTCTTTTTTTTTTTTTTTTGCTTCCCTCCTTTTGTCCAATCTGTACTATTGCCCTGAAGATGTTTCTCATCTAGCTAAGGTTGATTTGGGTAAAAAATACTCTCACTTCTTTATCTTCTTGTTTGGGAATATTGATTTGTTAACAACTATTATTTAGTGTCTCGGGCCGTGTGTTAACTGTTAACATTAATTACCTTATTTAGTCTTCATGACTATTATAAAGTGACAGTGTCACCAGCATTTTAGCATTTTATAGGTAAGCAGACCAAGGTTCACAGAATTAGGTAAACTGTCCAAAGTGGATCTGAACCCAGGTCTTCTGCTCCAGTGGTTATGATCTTAATGCCAAACTGTTATTCCTGGACTTTGTTAATCAATCACTAATAACTTGTCATTTGGCAGCTTTTAGCTAACTAGCTATGATAACCAAGTCCTACCATTCCAAACTTGATAAAGTAATAGAAACAAAGCAATTGGTATTTTGGTTATCCATTGAAATTCTAGAATTTCATATAAAGCTAAGAAAAAGGCACCCAGAAGGAGGAGTAAAAGATTATGAACAGGGAATTTT